ACTTTAAGTTAACTTTAACCCATGACAGTGCTTAAGTGTTTAAGACTCTCAGTCTGAGTGTTGAAGGCACGGGAATTTTACTTCTGATTTGGACTCTGATTATTGTTTTCTGCTTGATTAGAGTAAGGGGAAGATTTAGTAGAAAGCTTCTGTTAAAAGGAAATGCTTTAAGTGAAAAATGACTGATGCATAAAATACATTCTGTTTGACCTTACAAAGATCACAGCTATTGAAGTAGTGTTAATAAATATTTTTGCAGGTGATTACTAACTTGACCCAAGCATTAGAGAGGCAAAAGGAGAGAATAGAGTTGATGAGAAAGTTTACACTGTGGCGGATTCAGTATGTTAAAGCCAAACAAGAGGTATGTGTGCAAAATAAAAATGTGATGCAAATGAAACCCCTGAACCCAAAAGGGTCAGAGATAATGGAGTTCCTGCTATAATTTGAAGAAATTACAGTATTTCTATTCTGATGTGTTTGACGTTGTCAAATAACAGTTGGAAAACATCAATTCTAAAAAGAATGCTGCTGTCAGAATACTATCTGTAATGGGGAAAAAATCAAACCTATACTTGTCTTTTATTCCTCCAGTTACTGTGATCAGCTCGCACCAAATCACCCTAGTTCGCAGGATCTGCATTTTGAAGTAGGTGCCAAGGGCATCTCTATCTAAGTTTTAAGCACATTACATTTGAACAGAGATAGGATTCAGCATCACATTTTTTGGGGAAGCCACTTTCATGATTAAAACTTCAGCTGCCTTCTTTTCTCATGGTATCAAAACTTGAAGTAGCTAAGAGCTAGTCACGCATAAAACGTTGGGTATTGCATCAGGCATTGAACAGTAAACAATCTACCAAGTGAAGTATGACAGAAAAGAAGGATCCCATGTCAAGGCCGCAAATCTTCCCCATTCCAGGCTGTTAAAAAGGAAAAGCTGTATTCAGGACCTTCGTTCATTGATACAGATTCCCGGTTAGACTCAAGTTCATTGATGCTTTCCAAAACTCTGCTGATTTGCAGAGTGGGTTAGCCTTTTCTCTTTTCCTTCCCTCCCATCTTAGCATTTACTAGTAGTTTGGTGTCTAGTTTTTACTGAGCTCTTTTTATTTTTTCTAATTAATTTCTGAAAAAGTAATAAATAAAACATTGTCTGGTGACTATTCTGAAATAGAGTAGAAAAACAGAATTGTGTTACAGGGCATTTTAGAGCATCCTGACGTCTAAATTTATTAAAAAGGTAGGTGCTTTATGCTAATAATCTGCAATCTTTGTGACTGCAGGTTTTATATGGTGCCTGCAGTGAATTAAAATGTGCCAAGTACCCACTAAAGGGCTTCACACGTGCATGGTTACACTATATATGTGAGACGGCTGTTGAAGTGTCATTAAGCTAACAGTAAAAACACTGTTTTGTGTAACCTAGGAGTTCGCAAATATGGTTTCTCATGCTGGGGACAGTAACGCACCAAGTATGCGGGAAGAAACATTGAGCTGCTGATGCTGTGTTTGTGTACCACTTCACTGCAGCACATGTAACTCAGTTAAAAAACTGCTGTGGTCTATGTAATATGTTGCAAAATAATCATCCACACTCATTCTGAGTACTTAAATTTTTAGGAGACCTGAACTCACATATGATGTAGTTATATTTGTTTCCTAAGGAATATGCAAATAGAATAGCAGACAGACAATTCCGGACAGCTTTAATGAAGAAAGTATGGGCAGCATGGCGCTCTCTTAGTGAAGAAAAATGGAAAGAAAAAGTAGCAAAAGCCTGTCAGTTAAGGGCAGAAGATGTCTGTGTTCAGCTCACCAATGATTATGAAGCCAGAATTGCAGAGGTAAAGTAAGGTTTCTCTTTTTCATCTCTCTCTCATTCACTCTCCCACCCCCCATCCCTCCAAAGTATCTCTCTCTCAGTAAAGTTGAAAAACATGACGACTTTCCAGAACAGAGCTCCCAAGTACATAAGAAGATCTCAGGAAATCTAAGATCTCTGCTATGTTTTCTAGATGTGACCTTTTTTTCCCCTGCATCTGTTGTATAATGTTGTTGATCTGCACACACAGCTGAAGTAAATTGGACTCTTCCTGAAACGAGTCAAACCTCAATTTGCCCACCAGTAGGGATGGTATTTGTTTTCTCAAAGCACACTGTTAATATTGGCTGTGCATTTTGAGATCTTACTGAAGAAGACCATGGAAATAGACCATTATAATGATGAGTGATATAACAGCTACTCTGTTAAAGGCTGAATTTAAGTTTGGTTTTGCCTTCAACTTGCCAATTAAGCTTGTTAAAGAATTTTCACAGCTTAAGATTAAGTTAACAACATATGCATCAGTGCACAGCAAGAAAATAAAGCTTTAAAATATATATTTTAAGAGCTTTGTATTTTAAGAGGAAATATCTAGAAAATCTAGAATTTTAAGAACAGGCTTAAAAAACGTGGCTTACCAGCACAAAACCAGTACGTTACAAAGGTAACTTGGTCTGAGTTTTCTCAGCATTTTTAGTTTTACAGTAGCTAGAAAAGAGAGATTGCTGATGACAGTTCACCCTAGGCTTAAATAGTTTTCTGGGAACACTTATTCTTCTGTTGAGCAAATCCATATTACTGCAGAAATCTAGCTTGTGCCAGATGCCCATCTTCCAAAAGACAAAAATTTGTAAGGTAAGTTTCTGCTTAGCTGGTTAGGTAGGGTCTGACAGTCCTTTTGAATGCATTCTTGTCCTTGGTGTGCTTTAGTACAAATAATTTGCTGTAGTATAAGGAAATGACAAGTAGCTGTTCATCTCTGGTGAACCAGAGATTTTGAAGTGAATCAGAGAATTTGAAGTAGAAACGCATATCTTTGTAAATGTAGTAAGGGCGTTTTAAAGCTGATTGAGGAATATGTTTGGAGTTTGCATTCAGAAGCTGGTCCCTTATTCTGTTTCATAGCTAACTGCTACTTTGGAACAGACAAAAGCTGAAATTCTGCGACTGCACAGTGAAAGAGAACAGTATGAAGACACCATGAAGAAAGCCTTTATGCGTGGTGTATGTGCTTTGAATCTGGAAGCAATGACCATGTTTCATGGCAAGGACAGTAGGACAGATCCTGGTTAGTGTAAAAAGCAGCTCTGATCTAGTAATGTGCTGGGGTTTTTGTTTCTTTTAAAGGATTCTCCCTTTTGTCTTTTTTTTTTAATTTAATATGAGGACTTGTGGCAATGTAGAGTTTATCAAACTGTTACTGCTTTAAAAAGTGGAATATGTTGAGAAATACTTTGTACTGCTGTAGTTGAAAGGTGGAACATGTTCCCTTCACCCAGCCTTGCTGTGAGAGTGGTAAACCTTCGTCTATTCTCTGGAACCTCAGTGTGCAATGAATCTGCTTTTCCCAGACATCTGTCCCTTCTTTCTTAATCTTGCCTTTTAATGCAAAAAGGGCAAGTAAATCTCCCAGGTTCTGTATTCAGTTGGAGTTCTGTCCTAGAACAGGAAACACCAGTGTAATTATATCAGCAGCACACTCGTAAAACTTGTGCAGCTACACAGGACAGAGCTGCACACCCTTACTCGTGTAATGAAATCACCCCTGCAGAGTGAGACCATCTATAGCAGTACGAGCATGATCGTGCTGGTGCAGCAGTCTACATTAAAGAGAAAATAGCTGTGCCAGCAGGAGTGTCACAGCTGTACGTGTGGCTTAACCAGCTCTACTGGCAGCAGTTGCTAATAGCCTTAGACAAGTGACTTCAGTTGCTAAACTTAACAACCTTATGCCAGAAGCTTTTTAACTACTTCAGAGAAATTCCTCCAAAAAAATAGATATGAAGAGGAAATAAAAACCTGAAGAAGGTGTGAGAGGATACTTACCCGAGCAGCTGTCTGAGCCTGCTAAACATAGGCAGTATTTGTGCAGTTGCTTAGGAAACTAGAATATGACATTGGCTAAGTGCAGTAGCTGTATGCTAGTAAAAATGCAGGATCAGTATTTGGTGAAAATCAAGAATGAAGGATTTCTTGAAGATACTGAGCTTGGGAATAAAGTTACAAGTATTGCCCAAGTATTTTATTTTTCACTGTGTTCTAAATTAAGAACTACTCTTTCTTAATGCTTTATCTTATATTTGTTTGTTTATTGTTTTCCAAAAACATGCAGCAGACTGTGGGTCTCCCAAATAATCATGAGTAACTGAGTGGTGTGAAATAGGAAAGCATTATTTCTGTAAACCTGTATAGAAGAGGGTAAGTAGGAAGGCAATGAAGAAAACTGAGCTCAAGAGTTGCCATGGCCACCACCTGGAGTTCATGGACAAAACATTTTCCTTAATTTTTACTATGAAGCAGGAGACGATACTCTATACAGGCACAGTACTGAAAGATTTTCCTGTACTGGAGAATGCTAGGGTGCTTATACCCAACTTTTTGGGTGTCCAGCATAATGCTTTGTAATTTCCTATGATCACCATAGTCCTCATCAGGCTTCATAACGTCTCTGCTGTCCTTGGTCCTATGCCTGCCATCTTCATCCACTGCCTCTCATACCACCTTCTCCCTTATCCCAGGCACACTATCTCTTTCTTGCTACAGCCAGACAATGTTTTTAATGAAGTTAGTTACAGAATTATTTAATATGGTTGAACAACCGTTTATTTGCATTCCTCAGGTATAACGGAACTGTGGTCAGGACATCAGAGGACTTCAGACATCAGATTAGATGATTGTTGTGGTTTGTTCTGGTCCTGTGATCTGTGAATTTTAAGACTTCCGTGTGCCAGAGTCAGTCAGTGATTTATATATTTATATGAACACTGCAGTGCCACCTACAGTCATTGGAAATAAAAGCAGAATTTGTTCCCTTTACAGATTTATTATTATTATTAGGTTATTATAATGTACACATATGATATACAAATAACATACATATAGTATACATCATAATGTATTTTATTAATAGTGTGCAAGTATCACAACTTTAATGGGTCCATAGCATTGTGAGTCAATGTTGATGGTCTAAAATCTATCTGGGTGATATTATTATTATTATTATATGAAGATTATTTTTAACCTCTTTATGCATTTAAAGGAACATTGGCACCACCAGAACTCATTACTTTTTACTTAAAAAAAAAAACCACTGTTTTTAAGTAACAGATCAGATGATTGGGCTGTAACTATGCATTGGTCCTGTCTATACTTAAGCTTGGCGTGTGTGTACATAAATATGTATGTACAAAATGCATATTCTGGCATACTTTCACTCTTGAAATCTCTTGAACTACCTTCCTTATATTTTTCCTGGTCACTTCAAGAGAAAAACAAAAGAACACAACTACCACGTGGTGTCACTGTAGTCCCTGAAATGAGCAACGTTCAGCGTGGCCTTTCCGTGTTTTGCTGCTCTCTACGTGAACTGGATTTTGGCCCTTAGCGTAAGAGCTTCCCTCATACACTGGACTTGGTATTGGCAAGCAGAACAGAGAACCTCAGTTATTTGCACTACAAGTATGTGACAACGGCCACAGAGATATTGAGACGTAACACAGAAACAAGCCCTTTGGAAAATATTATTTCCAAGCATCTGAAAAGAAGGGTCAAATACAGGAATGTTTATATATATATATACACACACACGCACCTGTAAAGAACTTTTAATTAGATTATACAGAAATCCAAAGTCAAAGGAATAGTAAAATTTTTACTGTGACTTCTCTCTTTTTTTCCCCTTAGGGTTTTCTAGATAATGTGCTGATCCGATTACTTTGTGTTTCTAATAATAGATGTAGGAAGTAGGAGAAATGATAATGGTACCATTCTTTCAGGAAGGCTACCTCCTTCACAATGTAATCTGCCCTCACCACCACCTCAACCAGCAACTACTCTTCAGCTGGAAGACATGGTAAGCATGTAGCTGAAACAGAACTGTACTTGTAGTGATAAAAATGAACTTTCTCGTTTGGAGTTTTTTAAAGATAAATACCATAACCCATGAACTAAAGGGATTTGAAGACAGTCTAAGTGTAAAAAAAACCCCAAAAAAACCAAAACAAACAAACAAAAAAAAATACAAGTATGTTCAGACTGCATTGTGGAAGTGAAGCTGCTGTGACTTGCTATACTTGCATTAAGCTCTGTTTTTTATTTTGGTGAAAATGTGTTAAACTAATGAAGACAAGGTCACTATAATAAGTAGATTTTATCCTCCAAGGCGCTTTCTGGAAAAAAGCTGTTAACAGTTTTTTTGCAAAAAAACTGAGCTTAATATAATCTGAAAAGAGGAAAATCTGGCTTGACTTGACACTTATTTTTAAAAGTGTTAACATATATAGACACTGAAGGAACTCAGCTTATTGTCCTGTCACGTCAGCTTAGCCAGATCATTATCAAGTAGCTTAGATGTTCTGGACCTGCCCTGGAGCCATGCTGAAGATGTTACCACTGTGAAATAATTTCGTGCTAGAGTACAGGTCAGAACAGAGAACATGCGCTTGCCTCTCTTCCTTATTTTTCATTCTAATAGTATCAAATGTTATTCACAGTGTTCCTACAATTTTTAGACAAGAATTTTTAAGTTAGACAGAAAACAGTAAAACTAGAGATAAAAAATATCTGCAAAGAAGTTAAATTTAGAAGGGTAGTTGGACTAGCCAAAAAAATTACTATCTAAAAAGTTAAACTGTATTTTCGAGAAAGTTGTATTCATTCTTTGTAAACTCTGATTTCATTCACAGTTTTCTGCCCACCTGGGTCATGCAAGCACTTCTCAGACCAGGCTAGATTCTGATTCTCCAGCAATTGTCACTAGTACAGCTGCAGGATCTGGTGTGGCGTCAACTCAAAAACTGGTAATATGCTAAATAGCTTTTTTATTTTTTTAAGACATAATTATAACAAATATTAGTTTGAGTATTGTTGTTTACACCCTTTTCAGAGCAACACAAGTATGTAGTTGAGGAAACTGCCATAGAGTTTACATAGCCGAGTGAAGACACAGTTTGCAAATACTCATTAATGTTACAGCAACCCATTTATGTCTGGAGTAATTTTAAATTATTTTTGGAGGCAGGAGGGGGAAGTGTGGCAAAATAAGGAATAGAAGAGTACACATACAGTTAAGTGGAGCGCAACAGGAACAACTGGTGTTTCACATGATATAATTTTTGCTCTAGAAAGAACATGCTTTGCTTTAGCATCCTACTCTCTCATTCCCTCTTCTGTATTTGTTGCTAAACTGTCCTTTTTACTTTTCTCCACTGTCTTCTGCATTGCTCGCCTTTCTTTTTCCCATCTGATAGAGTTTGCTACCAGGTGTCAGAGAAGGGTGCAGCATTTTACTGAATGGAAGCTTTTATGTATCTGCCATGTCACTGATAGACTTTCCAGGGTGATGGAAGTGCATGCAGCTGTCACTCAAGTATGCAGCCAGTGAGCAAAGCTAAACTATCCATGCTGCTTAGTTTTTGTCAGATTAGCTTTAGTCTCCTCAGAACAGAAGTCACTTGCTCAAAACGCTGTCTCATACTTGGAGTGGAAAAAGATGGAATAAACCAGGTTGCAACTAGATGGAGCAAATTCAGTCCCGTATAACATGAGTGGATTACCTGCAAAATCCCCTGTTCTGTTTTAGGCATGTGGCTGATAAAACTAAGCAGACATACTAGAGCATTGTAAATATTATGTTTAACATTTTTCACCAACTAATACTTAATTTATTTGCAGCCCATGGCAAAAGTAATAACATCTGCTCAACAGAAAGCAGGAAGAACCATCACTGCTCGAATCACAGGCCGAGCTGATATGGGCCAAAAAGCCAGAGTCTGTGGCAGTGTAGCAGTGATGGGAGTTGCTCCACCCATGAGTTCAGTCATTGTTGAAAAACATCATCCAGTCACTCAGGTAAGTCAGAATTATGCTTGTAACAGTATTCTTATTACAACATATCTGGTAGTACTTTAGAGAAAAATGACCACCATGAAGACCAGCTCAGACTTGAGTCCTGTTTAAAATAAATACAAACAGAATTGTCTTTGGGCTGGGTAGAAAGCACTGGTGAGGAAAGGAAGCAAACATTGTTACTTTTAATCTATTTGTCTTGTTTCTATAGTAGTTATTTAATGGGTATAGTAGTCTTGGCTGTCTCTTTTTTGGCCAGCTCTTCCATGAGTCTTCCTCTTTGTAGAAGTGGTCAGTTGGTACAGCAATGTTTGGCATCATCACCATGCAACCACAGTTTAAACACAAGCTTCATGATGCATAGTGGGAAGAGTGACTGAACCAGAGGTACTAGAGATATAGGTTAGACTGAAAGGCTGGGTGTAGCAAATTATTGGGGAAAAAAGTAAAAGCCTTGTCCAGAGGCAATCAAATACATCAAGCCTGCTGCTTGTTGTATTTTGAGTCTTACTCCCTTTCATTTATCCTGAAGAAAACACTGAAATAAGTGCATTAGTAGAGTATGAAACCAACATACAAGAAGACTATAAACAGTGGCCTAGATGGCCTGGGCAATTGCTACACTTTTAGATGGATCTGAGCAAAAAATGGTTTTGACTGGATGTGGATGAAACAGTTGAAGATTTTTTTTTTATATTGTAACCTGTAAAATAGGATCTGAGTTTCCTCTGCCCTATCTGGAAGTCCAGTTTCTCTTCAGTGTTTCTGCCAGAACAAGCACAGCTATATCAGGTCCTTTAATTTGAGCTGGAAATGCTGGTAGCTGTCCATGTGAGGGATATTCTGCTTTCACTTGATTTCCTGCAGTGAATCAGAGCCCTGTGGCAGGCTGCACATAGCTTTCAAGAATTAGGGCTCCTAAGCAGAAATTCACATTTAAATTTAATTTCTTTTAGGGGGTTAGAGGTTGTTGTGTGACTTCTTTCATTAAGAACAACTTCTGTATTCAGGTAGTGTGACAAGTAAAGTACCTGAACTACTGTACCAAAAACTGAGTTCTAAAAATGTAATAAATGTGACAGTCCCAGAGATATATTCCATATACTCTTTCTGCAAATAAATGCCTAAGTGGAACTCAATTAGATGAAGTATTTCTCTTGAATTAGTCTGACAGAAGAGAGAGTTTACTGTGATTAAAAGCAGAATGACTACTGTTTATTTCAGTAAGGTGTCTAGTTTTTTGTGAGAAAGTTCATTGTTGTTAAATAAATGCAAACCTTTTCCTTTCAGAGACCAGAGACTTTTCATAGACTTCCTCATAGCAAATACTGAACTACAGAAGGAATGTTGGCATGATTAAATTAGCACTACAGAGGAAAATTCTGAACAATTTGGTAGAAACCCAAACAAACCAACCCTGAAATAAGATTGAGGTGGTAGAAGCTCAGGGTACCTAGTTAATTGGAAGTTTAGCACTTCAGTCCTAAAAAGTATATTACAGATCAGGAAGGAAAAAAATTACTCATTCTGTTAAAGTAGCCCTTTTTTTACGGGGGGGGAGTGTATTTCAGTTTGCTGGATTGCAAATCTTTCTGTTTAAACTACAGCTCACTTAGAGCCATTTTAATGGCAATTTTTTTTTTGTACTGTTAATTTTTTTTTATGTATCTGATTACTTTTCAGCAAACTGTATCCCAAGCCACTGCTGCTAAATATCCTCGAACTGTGCTGCATTCTTCTGGTTCCACCACTGTAAGACCTGCAGGCCAAGTTGGGCGAATGCTCCAGGGCCAAGCTCATACCAGTGTTCAGTCAATAAAAGTTGTTGACTGAGTGAATATGTTTCTCACTGGTGGGGGTTTTTATCAAGGTACAATTTAAACCTCTTCCCAGTCTTTTCAGATTTGATTTCGCAAGGCCTGAAGTATGTATCATGTTTTTACCCTTTTCTAAAAAAGATATTTTTTTAAGTAAAAGTGCTTTCATAGTGAACATCCGGAGGGGAAGAAAGAACCTGAATTGTTCTTCCTCCAAACTATGTGAGAACTTATTATGATAAACACTTTTTATTTAAAGAATCGTTTGCACACTTTAAATAAAGGATGTAATGTGATTTGTGTCTGAATCTCTTTGTTTAGTTCCAATGTTACTAACGTGCTTTCAAGTGAAAATTAGGTCTGTTACATGTGCTTAAGCAGCTAAATGTAATTAACATGCACTTTAATTATATCCTACAACAGCATACTTAAATGAAGAATAACAGGGTGATAGCCTTCACACCCAGGGAGTGACTTGGGCCAGGAGAGGTACCAAGTCCATCAAATTGTTGAGCATACTTGTTTTCCAACTTAATGTTGCAGAACTTGATGCATACCTGTCAGGATCTAAGAATTTGTGGCCTTAGATCCCTGATTCTGGAACCTGAGAATTTGCCAGTCTGTTCTTCATATTCCCGTGATGCTCTGCAGCCATGTCAAAACAGGTTGCACACAAGAGGGCAGTTAGGTGTAAGACTTCAGACTAAGATACAGATCATCATCTTTTTAGTACAAACAGTAGGATTTAGTACAAAATAGTGCTAGCTATATCTAGATAGACAAGGCAATTCAATTCTTCTGTTTACATGATAAAGCTATCGCTCTTTTCTCATAGAGAAGACTATGAAGATAGACATTTTAGATAATGTTTCAGGTGTGAAATATATTAAATAATGAGAAAACCTTTAAACATAACGACACTACCAAATATGAATTCAAGGCGTGAAATAGGCAAATAATTGCTAAATGTGTTAAGTATTAAATAGCAAATGTTTATTTTGAGTATGTATACAAGGTTATGCCATGATAGAAAATTCTGCAGCCAGCCACACATGGTTTTAGACATGACATTTTTGTGTATTTTCACTACATAAATCAAATGCTGAAGAACAAAGACATCCTAATCCTAGCAGTAATTAAACAAGAGAAAAGCCTTCTTCAGACAGGAACACTATGATCCTGGCAAGACTTTATAAAAACCTGAATCCCAAATTAGACCTATTTCTGGAAGTGTTGATTTATACACATAATTTTCTCTTATTAAATTTAATTTCTTTCAGGTAGAAAACATCTCATTTGGATTTCATATCAAACACAAAATAGCTTAATTTTCAGTTCCAGTACAGAATTAGTGTATCAGTGTTAAGCCAGGTGCAGAAATTGTAGGGCCGTGGTTCCTGCTTAGCAGTATACTCATAAATTACCAGACAGCCATTCACTCTTAAATTCTTTAAATCATTGTAGAGCAAGCGTCTGAGAAAGAACTAACCAGTATTTCAGGAGTGCAAGTTCTTCTAGCTTGGAAAAATCATACAACATCAAAATAGGTTTTTGTTTCCAGCAAATATATTACTTGTTTTTGAAAGTCATTTTCCATCTGGCATGTAATTCCATCATATATGCCATGTTTTATTGATGAACTCATGAAATTGCACATTTTCTGGAGTCCATGTCAGTGCTACTTGCAGCTCTGATCTTCTCTGTAAAGTAAGAGGAGAAAACACTTGATGTCAACTACTTTTTACAAGGTCAGGCTAATCTAACTGAAGGAGGGCCAATCACATTTTAATCATGTTTGCAGGACAAAGGAGGGAAGCAAAGTTTGAACATTTTTATCTTCTTTTAGAAATCTCAAGTGTCACTTAAACACTCTTACTCAAGCCACCTCACCCCTCAGCAAGGGCAGATTCCCAGAAAGGATGAGAGCATCTACCAGCTCCACCATGGTGACACCTTCCCAGCACCAGCAGGGAAGCAGCACCACCTCAGCACCACACTGCAGTCTCACAGAGGACAGTGTAATGTGCTCTGTACGGTACAACGCAACTTACCGGCTAAAGGCTGAAATCCTGCTTCCACCAGATCTTCATGTATATGCTTGAGAGGATTCTGATGAGCCAGCAAGATACCATGTAACCAGATGAGTAACATTGTGTTTCCATGTTCCTTATAACTTTTTTTCCCTATGCAATGCACAAAGCACTTGTCTGCTACATATGTTGGAAACAATGTATTTTGTGCTTTTGCACTTTTAGAGCTCCAAGAGGTTTTAAAACCTACTAGTTTACTCTTATTTCCTTTCTCACGTAGAAGCAAAATGAAGACTGAGACTTATAAAGGTTAAAAAAAAATGAACAAAATTCTGGTTTTGTCCTAAGGTTACTATAAAGGGGGGAGAAAAAAGATAATAAATCTTGAAAGTAATTTTTTCCTTTAATTTTTGCTCAACATGTGGAAATATATCCTGGAGTCATAGTAAAGAAGTACAATGAGTGCTGTAGAAACATTGTTTTCCCAGCACTTGAAATGCCTGAAAACAGGAACTGCTGTTCCACAGCATCTGTGAAGACAGAGTGTGAACACGGTCTTCCTGTGTCACAAGGTTCCCCAGGCCTCTTTTGCAGTGTGACCTGCAAGATCCTTCCATACTGCTCACTGCTGCTATTTTTTATTTCCAAAAATGAAGGTTCCTTCAGGCCAAGAAGGAGAACAGAAGTGGCACCGCTTCCCAGGGACAAGGCTTGTACCCATTCACTGCCCTTTTTCATAATTTAAATAAGAGCAGTAGGGCCAGTGTGTATCGGTGATACTCAAATAGTTTAAAAAGCAACTCTGCTTTTCATTTTTTATAGCTTGTTTATTATTTCTAGCCACTCAGATATTGTTACCTGTCCATTGCTCTTCAATAGCTTTAATTTGCTCATTTGTGAACTTCCAGAACAGGGCCAGCTTTTTCCATTCCTGGGGTTTTAACTGGTTGTAAGCTAGATTCCACAGGGAGGAACGAATCTGCATGGTCTGTGTACTATGATCTTGTTTGAAGGACAAGGTGAAGTTTGACCCATCATCACTATGAGCTAAATGTCCCTGAAAAAGAAAGCAAGTGATAAATTCTGTTATGAAGCTGGGAACCTGTGCTTAGTGAGCAGTGAACACTCAGTCCTGTACAGCCACCTGTAGCTACTGACAGGAGATTTGCTCAGTGCAGGTAAAGGAACCATGTTTGGCTAGTGGAGCTCTTTGGAAGATGTCTTAACATGGATGATGTTATTACATTCTTAATAACAGAAACAAAGCTCTCCTGTGTCTCTTGCTGTATCTTATTAAGCTAAATGCAAAATAAATTACTTCTTTCTCTGGCAGTTGATATGCAACAGTAAATAACAGCAAGTAGTACACCAGCACTGCTGTGCTCCTTGGCTGTGTTTATCTGTCACAGTTTGAACATGTTTGGGTTTCAAACACAGTTCTTACTCTTTCCTCTCGCTTCTCAAAGTGCTGACCTCTCCCTGAGAAGAGGGTAGCCACCATTGGCATGGCGCTTGCTCAGGCTGTTCCTGCCTCTGCCCCATCAGCGCCGCTTGGCTGAAGCAGGGACTCCCAGGTCATTTGATGGCAGCATGAGCCATTAGGTTTAGCGTGCAGAGCCCCATTCAGAAAAGTGCCGAAGCATCAATAAGCACATGCACATTGAATCTGGATCTAGTTTTATTGCCTGCATAAGCAAAATCAGATAGATTACCAAAACCACAAGCATTTTACCCTCCAGATTAAAAGTGATGTTGCTACTCTGAATAGCATGCCTGAAACAGGCGTGATGGGATTAGTTCTTGTTTGGGCACCTCTGCAAAAATCTAGCAGTGATTTCACTGCTAGCTGAGCCATGCCCAGGGAAAAGCCTCATTGCTAGTGTAGGTATGCTCAAACTACTTTGATACTTCATTTTGTTTACATGCTAGTCCTCTTTCAAATCAGTCTCTGAAGTGAAAAATGTCTTCATAAAGTTGATACAGGATTACAAAGCAGATACTAAGCCAAAAAGAAAATTACAGCATGCCACATTAGAAAAGTGCTAAGCATAAAGTACTCAATTCCAGATTAAAGTCAGAAAAATACAACAGGGTTATTCCCTAACCTTGTGAGAGTCTTGCAAGAAAAAAAAAAAAATCTTAATTCAATAACTAAGCATTGTCATGTATGTTTGATGCCATTTTTCTGGTGCAGACTTTATTTCGTACTTCCTGACACATGCAGGATGAGGTTTAGGACATTCTACAGGCCAGCTTCAGGTTTTCCCCTGTTCAGTATTTCTCTTCTGAGGATTAAAAAAAAAAAACCCAACAACCCACAAGCAAAGAAACAAAAAAACCATTTTTTTTTCTCCCTTTGCAGCAGTACAGCTTCTCTTAGCTGCTAATTGTGTGTCTAGGTAATGGCACAGTGGGACAGTATCAGCAGCCCTCAAATCCAATCAAAAAAAAGCCTGGGCAATGATAGGGAAGGGTTAGGTAGAAGCAGTAAATAGAACAAAAAGGGTAAACTGAGAGAACAAGACATTCTCTCACACATTAGTATCAAATAGTATCGCTTTCTCACAGCAACATGACATTTCCTTTTGTAGCTAATGCCTTGTCACAGAGGATAAGTCAGCTCAATGTAACAAAAAGGCTGTTCTTACAATAATGGTTCAAAACCCTGCAGCTTCCTATATGGTAACCCCACCTGAACAATGCCATATTCCATAACTGCAAGATCTAAGCTGCTCCCAAAGGCTGTGCTTTTAGCTTCAGGTAATGGGATAGAAACACTTATGTTTCTATTTCCCAACACCTCTGGAGCTTTTGCAGAAAACCATCTGCTTAAACATCTTTTCTTCTCCTCCGGCAATTCAGTAAACAATGCCAAGAGGTTAGGAGCATTAAGGGGCTCACTGCTGTCAGGCTTGTCATGTCTTCTCTGGCAAAAGATGACTTCACTTCTAATTCCTCTTTAAGCCAAAAGAAACAATAACATACCTGACAACTCCAGCTGGACTGAC